TGAGCGACCTCTAAATATTTTTTGATTTCAAAATAAAAAAATAGGGGTATACTTTTTTTTCGATATAGAACAATCATAGGGGTGAGAGCATTAAAATTCCGACTTTACTTATTTTGGATCACCCTAATGTACATGCATACATGCACGTCCGGCTTTCTTTGCATATGGATGTAGATATCTACATATATACTCTGAACAAAGAATATCTAAGAATATGAACACATATACAATGCATATAGATAGACATCTATAGATACATGTATGTATGTACAAATGTATAAACAAAGATATTATTCATACACTTGACCGATTGTTTACTTTTTACATTCCGCCAATTTTGTTTACAATTTGCTCTAACTAGCACCTAACAGTCAGTCGCGCCCCCTCTGCTTTTGTAACATGCAGCGTAAACTAGTAAATGGTTTTAAGGGTTTTTACACCCTTTATAATTTGGTGGTTGGTCTTAGGGGAAAAATTCAAATAAACAAAGAAAAACTAGTTCACAAATGATTTTATGACTTTATCATGTAAACATTCACGCCTATGTTTGACGACTACAACACGTATGTAAATAGTATATATCTTTACCTTACTGTAGAAAGGCCCTAACTCATTTTCTTTTCAAATCTAACATTGTACAAATATCTGCCGATTACTCACTAAAAACCTATTGGATTTTAAAAATAACTACTAGAGCATACAACTATTTGCATTTTTAAATATAAAAAACATTTAAAAGAAATTCGCAGCAAAAGGACTGGGGTTTTTATGTAGTTTTTTCATCACTCCCTAAAGAAGCCAAAATGTAAGATAGGGCCTTTATATTATAATTAAGGTACCGTACACACCCTACCGGAAAATCTGCTATTGTCTTTATGCCTTAGCAAGAATAATATTCTGCTACTTAAAAACATAGGTAGTGACAATATCAAGGCGCGCACTACAAAAATGGAGTTAGTTAAATGTCAAAGATACTGAGTCTGAAGATTTTCTGCATAGAGTTGATGTCTGTATGAGTCCTGGAAATTTTTTCTACAAGCGGCTAAAGTGAGCTTTTTTATAAAAAAGTTCATTGTTTCCAGTGTGGTCACACATGGGCTTTTCCTACCAAAACTGGTATGTTTTTTTCCATTTGGTAGGTTTGTAGGCTAGATTGGATTTTGGTACGTTTCGCGACAATGAGTAATAGTTGTTTGCGAAAAATAGAAAATATGTATCCCCAAACATTTTAGCAACCTTGTTTACACGAATATTTAACCGGTGCGTTCGTATAACGTCGACGGCAAACATGTGTATATGTATACCCGATTCGTAAGTAAAAACGTGTACCCTTATTATTGCGTTCTTGGACCAAGATTCCAGAAAAGTCTGCCAATTGGCTCGTACCCAGCCAGATTCCAGGGGCAGGTCTTTGCAATCGAAGTCTGTGTTCGCGAATATCTTCGTAGAAGGACAAATGGGGCCAGAATAAATATTGTGTCGGATAGTCAGGCAGTGTTAAAGGCCTTAGACTCTTTTAAAACTACATCAAGGCTTGTGGCGTCTTGAAGCACCTGCGAGCCCGCTATAGCGTAACGCTGACGTGGATTCCGCAACATGAAGGGTTTGAAGCCAGCGAAAGGTCTGACTGTCTCGCAAAGCGTGGAACCGAAATGCGAAAAAATACATTGCAGAATTACTTAGGAGCTAAGAAGAATCTCAGACTGCTGCCCACTGGCAGAAGAAAGAGATAATACGACGACCAAAGAGATTCAAAACTTCTCCCAGGAGGAACTCCGAAATACTCCTTGTACTTGGAACTCTTACTGGCTAAACGACAGCACACTACAAGTTAAGGACAGACTACAATAGATGTTCTTAGGTCGCATAAGTCTGCACAGTAAAATTAATTGTTATACGCAGTTATATTAGTTTTTATTGTACTAGCTGTGTCTTAGTTTTACTAAATGTTAATTTATCTGCATTTTTAATAAACTTGACATTGAACAAAAATTTAAAAAACTTAAAAAAATGTTTGGTAGGTTTTGGTGGATTTTGTTAGGAAGTTTCGGTAGGGAAAAAATTTGTCTGTGGCAACACTGCTTGTTTCACTAAATCATGCTTTCCCTACAGGGTATGTATTTACATACATATGTACAAATGAGTAGCTTCCATGTCGATAGACATCTACCAACAAAAGCAAGTTCCAATACCCACTCTCTCTCTCTCTCTCTTTCTCTCTCTTACATCTGCAATTTTCCAGTGCCCGTGTGTGCAATTGCAATTTGGTGAGAGTAGAATCTCTCGATCGCTTTGTTTTGAATTAAATTTCGTTATAGTGTAAACGCTGAGATCGCTACACATCTCACCGAGTCAAATTGTGTTCATAAATTCCTACTTGCATACAAATTAACACAACAAAGGCACCCACCAACCAACTGACATTCTTGCCATAGCCGTCCAGAATTTCGGTTCTCCAAACATTCATTCTTCAATTAGTTCTAGTGTGTTATTTTCTTTTTTATTTGCGGGTTTCCATTTCCCCACCTTGGCAATTACATGTGTACATATACGTACCTTTAGATACAAACACATATTTACAATTCTGGCGCATTGTAGTTCCGACTTTCGTTTCAAGTTCAGCTTAGCTCAGTTTTAAACTGGAAGCCTTGGCATAGATACATACGATATATCTTTTTGTTAGTGTTTTATTTTATTTATTTTGTTGTTGTTGATTTTCTACCATTATTTTTGCTTTCACTGAAAATGGAAAAATTCTACTATGTGGATATGTTTCTACTCAGGCATTTGCAAAGCTTCTGGGGTGCATCAGGCGATTTCTGGCAGGCGCAATGGGATAAATTTATCGATAAAACAGGTGAGTAGAATAGAGAAAAAAAGAAAGTGATAATAGTATTTAATAGCATGAATATATGTATGTACATATGTATGTAAAGTGCAAGGTACGTAGAATTACTCTGTGAAACAGCTAAACTAGCCTTAATCAATTTTTCCTCCAACTGTGCCAAAAAGAGCTGCAATGAGAGGAGTTAAAATTTTTTATGAAGAAATCGTTCGCTAAATTTAGCTACAGACCTCTGAAGACCAGAATTTAGGTTTGAAGTCGATCTGTACAATATATCATAATTTATGCCCTGAAGGTCTGCTTGAAGTCAATTTGTACATAAAATACTTGTAAGATAATTGATTTTGTAAAAGTTTAAACTTTAACCCACTGATGAGGGGAACCAAAATCCTCGCGTAGTGGGGCTATCAGGTATAAATAGTACCATTTAGGTAAAGCGTGGTGGATGTATGAAACAAACCCCCACGTTGCTATTTATTACTGTATTAAAGTTAGCCTCTACTTTTGATTTTCTTTATTTTGAAAGTTTGGCATAAGTCATTTCCACACTTTTGTGCTTAAATGGTTGATTACTTCAAACTGAATGAATCTGTAAATCGTTCAACCGTCATAAACTGATAGGCAAAACTGGTTACCTTTGGCTGATAAAGTTGCACGAATAACAGACGCGTTCAAAACGGTTAAATTGATCGATCACTGAAGTCATACGGCATGAGTTGACTTATGCCACTTTCAAAATAAACGCCTCACATAACGATTTTTGATTTACAATCAAGTGATTAGTGTTAGACATCAAACGATGAGGTGGTTTATGACGACTACTTATATGCATACCATGATGATCTTGTTTATTACCGTATTTGTCTATACTGATAGCCCTTAGATCCGCAGTTGTTTGTTTAATATAAGCCATGTTATCTTGGCGGTTTTAGTTAATCTATAATTAGAGATTAAATGATAAATAATAAAACTGGTAGTAGAAATTGTTCGTATTCACCTACTGTATTGCCAGTCCCTCAAAAAAAAATAATAATAATAATACTTGTGCGATTAATCTCTAAAGAGAGTAGTCCTGGATTAATCTCAATTGGACATTCATTAGTTTATACGGACCCGAGTGGTTAGTGGTGCGTGCTTCAAAATATTTTGCACAATTTGTAACTTGGATTTATGTATATCTATGGTTTTTCTTATAAAATAAACTTTATAAAAAAAAATTTTTAAACTTATCAAAATCTGTTTATCCTTATCATTATGTTTATCAATACATACATACATGTACGTACTTAAGCAAAATTATCGTCCTAATCTAGTTCAATACGAGTATGTAAACATAGAACTACATAGCGTTAAACTCATTGGTACATAGTTTGAGCAAATAAAGTCACTAGCTAGCTCAAATAATGGTTAAAGGTTATCAAAATTCGTGAGACTTAACTTGTAAACTGCATTTAAGTACATGAATACACACACCTGTTGAAGTGGAATTCGCGCTTCTGTGTATTCGTTGTATCATTCGTAATACGTTGTTCGCATGAGGCGATTTTGCGTTCAACGTTTGCGTTCACCTCACGCACGAAAAAAAATTGAATGGCTAAAAATATCAAAATATATAAAAATATTCGCCATAAAAAGGCGTTTGCATTGTTTAACTTTGCATTCTACTTTAGTTTCAACGGCCTTTCAGCAAATCGCTTTCAACTAAGTTGGTCGCCAGCCAAGATTAAGCCATTCAAGTTTTTTTCGTGCAACCCTGCGTGCTGTTAATAGTTTTTACCTAAATTACATATTTCTTATTTACTGAAAGATCGTCACAACTCAAAGAAATACGGTATTTTTCAGGAGACGCGTTAAAAGTTTTCAAAATTGCTTGTTTTTATTTTGCGTGTTAAATTATGGGAAAGATTTATTCACATGGAATTGGCGATAAGGATGAATATGTAGCTAGTAATTCTGCATCATTAACTCAAAAATAGTTTTTTTTTTAGCTATGGCAGTCCCTTATTAAATGAGCGATATGTTCATATACATACCTACATACTTTTACGTACATAT